TGGGGAGACCCAGGACTTATTGGCAGTGGCATCAGGGGATGGTCTTGTCTTGTGGGTATTAAGTTCAGGCACATCCCATTCCTTGCCCTTAGACTCTGCTTTTCCCTGTGTTACCGATAGAGATTTCCTGGGTCCCATTTCCAGTCAGGGTTTCCCAGCCTCAGCTTACCTCAGAGGGGGTGGGGCTTGACTGCCCTAGGTGTTTGGGGTCCCATCTTTAGACAGGGTCCTGAGACCTTAGCAGGCATAGCCCCCTACAACCTACAGAGGGCTAACTCTGAAGCCTGCTGGCTTGCCCCACACTGAGCAGTCCTGAGAGATCTGGGCCTCTTCCAGGCTTGTGGAAGGGCCTTGTGGCACTCCCGGCAGTGAAGGAAGGGGCAGGGCAGGCAGGTGGGCAGGAGTGTAGCCTTTGCTCAACTTCTCCTACCTGTGTCTTGAAAGGGAAGACGGAGGAGCCCTGTCTCTGTGGTACCTGCCAGGACAGGAGCAGGCTTGCTAAGTTCAGACGCTGGTCACACCACAGAGCAGGGAGCAGGAAGCACAGCTCACACCTGGCTGTTTACTTCTCCTCCTGCTGGGAATAGCCCCTCCCTGGCCCACCCCTGCCTGAACTGCACACTGCACCCCTGGCCTCCTGTTGCATTTCTGCCTTCTCCTAGCCACGAAGCCCCCAGTTTCTGCTGATGTTTTGTGGAAGGTAGGGACTCCCTTACCCTCCACCTGGAAAGTGAGAGGAAAAGATAGAAGTCTGGAAGCTTTCTATGCCAATAATGAACCTTAACCCCCAGAGGTACCCTCAAGGAGGGGATCTGCGGCAGCTGGAGTTTTTGTCATGATTTCTGGCCACAGAGGGAACCTTATTTCTTTAAATTGGGTCAAAGTCTTCCCTAAAGAACCTCCCCTAACCTAGGACTTGCTGCAGGGAGCACCCTCTAATGCAAGGAATAGATACACCCAACCTCCAGGCAGTAGCAGCTTTTCTTTCCCTGTAAGAAAAATTGCTTGTTAAATGTGGTTATGGGGGCTTTTCTTTAGGACTACTATTTCCTACTGGCTATCCCCAGCCCTCCACCCTGACCCTGCAAAACCCAACACATTTTAAGTAGTTTTCCTGGGATTTTCCCTGCAGATTCAATTATGGGAATCAGCATAAGAACCAAGTTGTGAAACCAGTGAATCCCCACTGCATGGGGTAAATACCTGCTGACAGATTTTCCTCCTGAGCATTCCTCCAATCCTGGAGGAG